GTATACGTCGCTTCGCAGTATACGTCGCTTCGCAGTATACGTCGCTTTGTCGTATACGTCACATGTATTATGTGTCACTGCTGACAACCCGGAAATGTGGGCCAGTGTTGTGCCAAAAATCGATTGGCTGCCAAATGGCGGCTGCGGGAGTATGTATGGGAGGATTTTAGCAAGAATTTAACGAGATTAACACTTATAAAAAAATATTTGTTTGCTTGAAATTATAGGAAAGGTGTGTCTCAGTTGAACTTTCACTTAATAAATTCATTTTGACGGTCAAATCAGCTGCATTTTCAAAAGCTGATACGCGGAAACAGGAACGCGCAGAGGGCGACTCGCTGTGCATCTCTTTAGAATTTAACAAGATAAGCGCCTCAACAATTATTTGTTGGCTCGACATTATAGTAAAGGTGTGTCTCAGATGTACTTTTACTTAATAAATGCACTGTAATGGTCAAATTAGCTGCATTTCCCAGGGGCGGCGTAGCAAAATGAAGCTGATTTGACGGTTGCTCCAGGTGAGCTGGACGAAGGTGGCTTCTATGGCAAGCCAATTGTGTCATTAATAGCCACACTTTACCTATTATATGACACAACGGCATGCCATACAACTCAAGTGCCATCTAGCAGCTGAAAATGGTAGTGTTCAATATTTATATATATATATATTTATATAGTAATCAATTCTTAAAGATTTGCTTACACAAAGTCAGGAAATTTTAGGATTATAGTCAGCTTTATTATTACTCAGTAACACCAAACAGGTGCTGATAATCATCTTTTTAATATTTAGGACTAAGCACAGTTATCAACTAAGTAGGAAAAAACTGCATGAAGATTCAAACTGGGTAAGGAACAAACTTTTTATTCATTTATTCATTTAAAAGTAACACAACAAACAATTAATAAAACTAACAAACTCTGTTGAGGTTGCTCCATCTGGCAGGTCGAACACCGACTGAGCACAGCAACCAGACAAACAAAGATTTTTAAAACGCCGTGGTTTCATCATGTGCTGGTCGAGGCACAAAGTAACGAAGAACACTGAAAACCTCAGCTCTTGAATCAGTTGGTGAATGTTAATGCAAAGGACCCGTTACCCCTAATCTTGTGAATTCAAACTATTTGACCACTGACTGGCCCCAAACTAGTTGGACAGTTTGAGCAGGCGGTGGTGGAGAGCGCGGACTACAGGAACCACCTGAGCACCATCAAACTGGTTGATCCACTATGAGAAGATGCTCTTTCTAAGAATCTGTTGGACTCCTGGCAGGGACCAATGCAGACATGTTCCTGTTTTTAGTTTTCTACATTTGCCTTAGAATCCAGCTGTTTTTTGTTACCTTTTTCTTTTAGCCATCCTATTTGTTAAAAAAACAAAACAAAACTGTAGTATGACTTTTTATAACTGTTTATTGTTGTCATCACTCTTTGTTGAAATCAGGTCTCTCTTGTAAATGAGTCCTCGAGGTTCAATGGGATTTACCTGTCTAAATAAAGGTTGAATGAATGAATAAGACTGAGTTTGTTGCAGCTCCTCAGACTGAAGAAGTGTTTTGGATAAAAGACGAAACTTTACAACAAAAATCAACTGTCCAGAGAACCTGACTTCAATTTTTCTTTCTG